TGTCCGGAATGGCGTCTTTCAGCCAGGTTTCCGTGAAACACAGAGCAGCAGAGTTTGAAAAATCCTTATTTGTCCAGGAGAGCAGAAGGAGTTCGTCCGTTTTGTTGGGTAGAGAGCGGAGGTTCGCCAGATGGATGCTAGGCAACGGTGGCACTGTGCAGACCAATCAGTTTGTGACATCAAAGTACCGTGAGAGTTGTAGACAAATGTTGGCTACAAACCTGTTGCAGAGTTCATCTGTGAAAATGAGTCCACCATTGCAATCTCTGAGGCCTTGTCCTTGATAAAAAAAATGGAATGATGCCTGGAATCCAAAATAGACTTTTTAAATTTACATTTGAGTACCACGACAGCTATAGAGAGCAGATGGTTCTGTATGCTTTCGAATCACTCTCACTGTGTTTTTAAACCACAATGCTTAAAACGCATTTAAGCTTACATCATGACGCGCAAAAGCATTGGTATTTTTCTACCGGGTTATTTCCCAACCCTTAAGCGAATATATAGAGTTCGTTCAAACACAAAAAGCCAAATATATCCATCAAGTTAATAATCAAACTAACCTAAACTCTGTGTGGACGATGCCGCTGTTTTTATCTGCTCCATATGCCCGGTCCACTTGCTGTTTCACAACTTCTACTCCATCATCATCTTTAATAAAATAACCTGATAGCTGGGGATTTTACTGACTATGTTTTATCTGCTGTTTGTCTTTTACATTTTTCTTTTTTTTGAGCCCCTCTCTCACATTTTTTTTTAGAATAGCTGACATTTTTACTTATTGAAGATTGTTCTTTGCGTGACCATTTCCAGATTATGCCAGAACGAAGTCAAGAGTGGAGGTGAATGCGGACATCAGGCGCAGCGATCACCTGATAGATACGTGTACAGTTAATTCAAAAGTCAAATACAGAATAAATGCATTTGATTGGTAAACCAAATTGGTTAATACATGGAATTTACGGCAAAGCTCCACTAAATAATAGCGCTAATAAGTGGGGGCGTGGTGGGGCTTTGGCGATTGGCGCTTCAGTCAATCTACTCCACAGCCAATCACGGGCCCCCTCATTGCTCGGGCCCTGGGGCTTCAGCCCCACCTAGCCCTATTGTTAATCCGGCCCTGCATATAGTTACAATAAACTTTATAACCTGTAAGTTGATGAAAACGTAATGCGATGCACTCACTGCCTCAGATGCAGCTGTTCTAATGACAGGCAAAACACCATCTTTCGCTGGTCAAAATCCTCATAAGTGTCTGATCATATATAAAGCCACAATACCAACTCTGACAACACTGTTTAATTATAAAAAAAAACAAAATTGTTTTGTTTTTACATTTCCTGAAAGTGATAGTGGTTTTGAACATAGCCTAAAATGTTTCCGCCCGACAGCGACTATATGTAAATTTGTTGTTTTGTCATAAAGCTACCTATGACCTTGTGTTCACACCTGACTTAAGCTCAAGTTTCACATTAAATGTGAGTACTACTTAAAATATAATATCCAGTTTTAATATGCCATTTAAAGCAATGCATGTTTATGCAATTTTGTTATATTTCAGTGCTTAGTGGTGTGCTGTGGGATTTTTAACTTTTCAAAACTGTCGTGGCTAAAAAAAAAGGTTGGGAAACACTGTTTTAGGGCATCGCTGCATGGATTTCACTCACTTCACTGTTAAAAATACAACCCATTTGATTACAGATTTTACTAATGAAATTGACTTTGCATACAAAAATTTAGACTGATGCTCATGTAGATTTATTCCATCGAGGCCTTAAAATGAGTGCAAAGAAACTGCCAAATACAAAATGTTTTCGAGTTCAACTCTATATCAGTGCCACTTTGTTTGTACTTTTGTGGATGTGATAGGATACATCTACACAAGTTTTGGCCTATATTTTTGTGTGCATATTCCTTTTCTTTTATATTTATATTTATTATTTATTATTTATACAGTATATGTATTATATACATATGTGTGTGTGTTTGAATCATGTTGAAGAATGTGTTATTATTATTCATTTAATAATTATCATGCTAAATTATCATAATGGTATTTTATATAAAAAAATATTTAAACTAGTTAAAAAAATTAGTAAAACATTTTTTTAAACTTGTTTTCTGTCCAGCAGGTGAAGATGCCAGTCAGTAAAGACCTGTGTCCACTGCTGACAACCAGGATAATGCCGTCCCACCTGGCAGCTGTCGCCGCTGCGGCCGCTGCCGTTAGCTCCGCCTTCCCGCTGCGTGCCTGCCATAACCCCGCCCTCTTTCAGACTCAGTCCCTCCCCGCTGCGCTGCTCCGCCCTGCACCTGGGCCAATCAGGACTGCTCACACACCTGTACTGTTTGCCCCCTATTGATCTTTGAACTATGATCTCTGGTGGATCACCTCACACTGGGCACGCAGCCCGGATCAAATGAGCGATACCAGGTAACTATGCATCGTCATTTACATGTGACACACTGACGTTAAGCTATAAATGTATCGGTGGAGATTTGATTTTTGTTTTTTTCTGTACGGAAACCATGATTCGTCATCATCATCATCGCTTAGAGTGCAAGATTGATTTGTAAATTTAAGGTGAGTTTGGGAACACATAGATGTTAATAATGGAGACAATGGAAAGTTGTATTTCTCTGCTGTTTTGCACTTGAAGTCTTTCTGTTGTTGATTTCTAGATGACTAGATCCCTTCCTGTTTCCAGCTGTTGGTGTAACAGGTCAGCAGTGCTTCATTTGTCTATGGACCCGTTTCACATTTCTGTGGTTCTCAGAAGCTGAATTCATCATAAGCTTCTATAGTCGTGAATGGAAACTACAACAAATATCATTTTTGCATTCCCATTTGCTTCAATAGAAGAAAAAAAAAATCCAGTGTAGCATTTCTATGACTACACAAAAGAGGAAGAAATATCCATCAACATAATCATATATCAAAAATGCATAAATCAGATATCTATGTAATCAATTATGGTCATAAGAGAGAAATTTCAAATTTGCCATCACTCCCTCAAAAAATTACTTTGAAACTATTTTCACTCTGAAATTGCTATTTTATTTTACAAAATTAAGAATTTAATGATTATTAATCATTTATTAATTTGACAAAAATAATAGTAATAGTTGTCTGTTCCTAATAAATTAATTAATTAATTAGAAATTTGCCATAACTTCTTAAAAAATTACTTTGTAACAGTTTTCACTCAGAAATTGCTAGTCAATTTCACAAATATAGAAACGCCAATTAACACATTGAATTAAATGTGAAATTTTCAAGCAGAAAAAAATGAAAAACTTTAATGCAGAGGTAAGAAAACATTAATGTTTTGGACATTAAATGTGCATTTTATATGGTTACATCTTAAGAAGTTTCAGCCAATAACTAGAGTTGTAAATGTCATGTGACTGATCACGGTCGAGCAGCAAAATTGTCAAGTTAATTCTGAATGGCTGCTGACCTCAGTGACAGACAAAGAATAAAAGTTTATTTCACAGTTTAAGACCCTCCATAAAATGCTCAATAATTACAATCCAATTCCAGATCCAGATCCAGCTTTTCTGATACAAATTAAGCCCTGTTGTACCTGTGTGTGTGTGTGTGTGTGTGTGTGTACAGCAGAATTTGGGGGAAGATAAGTGGGTGATTTCCAAGGTAAAATGCTGCTGATTATGTTGATTATAGTGGGATGTTTGCTAAACAGATGAATATGTAAATGTGCAGGAGTGTGTTTAAATGTGTGTGTGTGTATGTGGGGGTGAGTTAGCGGGCTTTCACCTGAAGTCATCCCTGGAAACATCTCATGAATAATTCATGAGCTACTGGGGCCACAAAGCTTGTCTTTTCTTGCAATGTGAAAACCGATAAACATTTTCAAATAAAGAATCCTGCTTTATTAACTTGCTTGCTGGAGAAAAAAAAATGAATTCACTTAACTATGGAAAATGTACATATATATATATGTATATACACACAACCCTTCAAAAGTTTGGGGTCATTTTTTTAAAAGAAATTAATACTTCTATTCAGCAAGGACACAAACTGAACAAAGGTGACAGTAAAGACATTTATAATGCTACAAAAGATTTCTATTTTAAATAAATGCTCTTCTTTATATTTATGAAAGAATCCTGAAAAAAATATATAATAAAATGTACCACGATTTCTAGAAAATTAAGCAGCAAAAACTCTTTTCAACTTGTGCAGATCAGCATATTAGAATGATTTCTGAAGATCATGTGACACTGAAGACTGGAGTAATGATGCTGAAAATTCAGCTTTGATCACAGAAATAAATTACATTTTACAATATATTCAAATAGAAATCAGTTATTTTAAATTGTAATAATATTTCCAATATTACTGTTTTTACTGTATTTTTGATCAAATAAAACTTGGTGAGCAGAAGAGACTTCTTTAAAAAAACATTTAAAAAAATCTTACTGAACCCAAACGTTTGAACATTGCATTTATTTATTTATTTATTAAAAGGAATATTTTCTTCAAAATTGAAATAGATTTCTCAGCCTCCTGCCATCCCAAATTCACAGTATTTTCTTTCTGCTTTGGTGAGCAAAGTAAAATGGCCAAAAAAAGGAATAGTTCACCCAAAAAAAGAAAATTTGCTGAAAATGTACTCAACCTCAGGCCATCCAAGATCACCAGTGGATCCTCTGCAGTGAATGGGTTCCGTCAGAACGGTTTTTTAATTCTTTTCACAGCTTTTCACTTCACGAGAAGTTAACTGATGGACTGGAGTGGTGTGGATTACTTGTGGATTATTGTGATGTTTTTATCAGCTGTTTGGACTCTCATTCTGACGGCACCCATTCACTGCAGAGGAACCACTGATGAGCAAGTGATGCAATGCTACATTACTCCAAATCTGATGAAGAAACAAACTCATCTACATCTTGGATGACCTGAGGGTGAGTACATTTTCGTTTTTGGATGAACTGTTCCTTCAAATGTCTCATAAAAGTAGTCCATGTGACTTGTACATGCATTCCAAGTATATCGAAGTAATTTGATTGCTCTGTATGAGAAGCAGACCCAAATTTAAGTTGTTAGGGTCATTTTTCCTTTGCATTTAACGCTTGAGAATCAATAACGTTTGCTGTCAAACTTCACCATCCACCTTCATGTATGGAAAGCCAAAGCTCAGATATTTTGCAGAACATTTCTTTTCGTGTTTCACAGAAGAAAGAAAATACAGGGTTGAAATGACCTGGGGGTGAGTATATATCACAAAATTAACAAAAAAAAAAAGAATAAAAAGTGCACGCCAATTATTTGCTTGTTTTGGTCCACGAGACGGTAAAAGTGAGTCACACTTGCAGTCACTAATCAGCAAATCTGCAATTTACCTCTTTTCAAAACAAAACAAAAGTGCCTATAAAAAGCCAATATAAACAAGCGTTGGTTTCCAGGAGGTTCTGTATGCGTTATGAAACGCCGCTGCCATCAATTTCACTTTCTGACATTGCTGTATGAGTCACATTTGTCAAAAGCTCATAAGTCAGCAGACGCGGGGCTGAATAACCCGTCCTCTCCGCGGACTTTCTCGTGAACTTTCTTGAAACCTCTTACATAAATCCATGCTATGACTTGATCCGTGTTGAAAAGCGGCAGGTGCGCTGGTCCAGAAACGACAGAGCCAGCGGTCTGATGAGAGAACGGTAATGCTAGCGGAGAGTGAAATGCTGGCGTGGTCTCGCTGTTTCTCAAACCATAATGGTGAACATCTGCATGCAGTCAATATGTTCTGTTTCAGCGGAAGGTCAGTTCCATGATAGAAGACAGGCTGTATTTTATCCGAACCAGGAGCGAAATCAGATTCCAATTATCTGGACTTTTTTAGACCTTACTGAATTTAAAAAATCTAAATAAAAACGAAATGAATACTGTGGATGGAATATGCAGATTTTGACCTCTATGGTTTTCTTCTATAGTCATGCTGCTCTTTTCTGTAATAAAAATGTAGACTTAGCATGCACTGTCAAGCACTATATAGTAGTCTATATGACGTGTGCTCTATTTGAAGTCGTCTGAAGCCATGCAATAATTTTGTTTATTTAATTAAAAATACAGTAAAATTCTGAAATATTATTGCAATTTACAATAATTATGTTCTCTTTGAATATATTTCAACATGTAATTTATTCCTGTGATGCAAAGCTGAATTTTCAGAACCATTAATCCAGTCTTCAGTGTCACATGATGCTTCAGAAATCATTCTAATATGCTGATTTGCTGCTCAAGAAACATTTCTGATTATTATGTTGAAAACACTTGTGCTGCTTCATATTTTTGTGGAAATGTGATACTTTTTCCCCCCAGGATTCCTTGATGAATAGAAAGTTCAAAGGAATGATAATTATTTAAAATAGACACATTTCATAACTTTATGTAACATAAAAAATTGGACAAAGTGAGAGACAATATCTAATATCTTATGTTACATATAATACCAAAAAATATTAATACATGTAATTATCTTATCATGAACCACTTTCCAATATTTGTGTGCCTGTATGTATCTTTTTATATTTCTGTGTATTCAATTGCATTGTTAAATTAGCAATTTAGAAAAATTATTTGAAATGAGTTGAGTCTCCCATGTGCTTCACACGAGGAGAGCCATTTTAATGCATATGTAAACCATTGAAAATGGTGAACAAATGCAGTTACATTTTGGTTATGATGCTGTCTATGTTGCTAGTAGACATCTCACTAAGTTTTAGCCCTTTAATTGTGTTTCACAAATAAGTAAATTCATAGTGGTTTGCAAAGACATGAGGGTGAATAAATGATGACAGAATTTTAATTTCTTGGTGAATTATTCCCTTAATAACGCTGACAGACTCTGAAAAGTGGATGTCATTCACCTGGTGGATTTATTTCCAGAAATCCATTTTTCATACCCTCCCAGCACACTGTAGAACACTTTACTCAGCACTTGAGGCCTCGCGCTTCTCTTCAAGTGCCTGGGGGGAGATCTAAAGAAGACTAATGGAACATGACGATCCTTGGAGGACGAGCGGGGAAATTCAAGCGCTCCGGTCGCCTGTGCGCTGCTTTGATTCCTGATCATGACAAATGCAGTAATTAGCATTCTAGTCCAAGAGGAGCGAGTTCTCTTTATTCCTGCAGGTTTATAGCGGAGCCTGCTAAGTATGTCGGGCCCGTCTTCATCCCTGCTGCCGTGCCGAGACAGACCGAAGCCGGCATGATGCGTCATGCGTAAAGCACATTTTGTGCTTGCGATTTTATGGCTCATGTCAACAGTGTTTCCAGCAGGACTCTCTTGGATTTTAGTCATTGTTTGAAACATTAGCACACTCAAGATGATGTTAGCCATCAGTGGTGCACCTGATATGACCACAGACAATTACAGGTCGTAATAACTGAGTAATAACTGAAGTTACTTTAAAGCAAGATAAATAGAGTAATCTGTGACAGTAACTCAAGAAGGCTCATTTTATCTGTAGAGGCTGTAAGCTTGGAAGAAGGTCATTTTTATCATTTTGTGATCAAGTATCACTGTTGCTAATCGCATACTTTGGGATTTGAACAAACCTCTAGGCCTAAGTATTGTTTTTAGGCATCTGGCTTATCCTTAAATGTTTGTTGCTATGAACATGCATGATATCTCTTTGTTGTTGTTGAGGAGAGGTGTGCTTTTGCTTTTTTAACCAATCAGACTTGTTTTTCCTGACAGATGAAAAAAAAAAAAAACAAGTGAAAATATATGGACTCGTTTGACTAATAAATATGCATTTAGAAATTACTCAGAGTGACCCTAGCAACTTCATAGCAACTCCCTGGTATCCACTCAGAATGCCTTAGTAACCACATAGCAACACTCTGACAACCTCTCAGAACACCTTAGCAACTGAATTACAATGCTTTGGTAACCACCCAGAATGCCTTAGTAAACAAATAGCAACGCCCTGGCAACTACATAAAACACTTTAGCACAACTGCGTAGCAACACCCTGGC